AAATATAGATTTGGACATACTAACCTTTATCAAATCAGAGGTTTAATACTCAGGAATGTTTTAATATTATTTGTCAGGTTCCTAGTCAAGCAGGTCTTTTGCTGATATATTAATGTAGTCATGAAAATGGCATGGCTATATTTCAGACATAGAGGAATGCCCAAATAACTAAGCAATGGAAATATAAATTTACCTAAAGTATTGTGAAAAAACTGTCCAATACTATCTTTGATATTCTTTAAGCTTAGGTATTCATGTCAAAGCCAATCACTGATAGAATTGTATCAGCAACATTCCTCTAGCCCCCAATTTCTATAATGTTTTCTGTGGAACACTAGTCTCCTAGAATATTAATAGATTGTATTCAAACTAAAAGTTCTGTAGTTTAGGAAGCATAATTAATGATGGGATAAACAGTTAAACTACTAGATTAGCTACTGCAAGGGAATCTAAGACATTTTAAATGCATGAATGCGTAAAGTGAATTTTACTTAAGACAGTAATAGAGCACACACATTTTCCTACATTACTTGAATGTGGCACATTTTCCCAAAGGCCTATTGGAAAAGCTAGTGTTCCAAGGAACACATTTTGAGAAATGTTGTCCCACCCAAACCACCATTATGTGAAAAAATACTAACATCTGTGGTAGGCAGTGTTGAGAATGCTGAAGGAGAAATTGCATGTGATTAGACATTCTGTAGTTTAATATATATACATGCAATGTAAACTTTTGACATTCCTTGTCAAGTAATTGCTATGTTTTTATAGTCTCTGTGTCCTGTTCCATTTTTTTCTTTACGTTTAACAAACAATCCTATATTTCTTTTATTTCCATATTACAGGTGTATTTAATTGCTGATTCAGTACATCCCTCTTCAAATGATTTTACTGTCTCATTATGGGTCATTCAAATTTCATATGGCTTCTCCAAAATTTGCTAATCTTATTCTTTTTAGTTTAAACAAAAAACAAAATTTTATTTACATGGAATGGAAAAGTATAGCTATGTAAGTTTTATTTTCTTGCTATAGACTTTTGGAGTTTCAAAACATTTTCAGAGATTATATAAGAATCCATTTATTTAGAGTTTGGCCCATTTTTTTGCCATTTAAAATTTATTGTTTGCTCTTTCTGCTTAAACATAAAATTTCTATTTCCAGCATACATGTAACTTATCCCAGGTGAACCCTAAATGGATGATCCACTTTGTGGTTTGGAAAGGGGCCTCTAAGCCACTCTGACTTGACTCAGTTAAGTTCCTGCCTCTTGTTCTTCTGCCTTTCCTTTGGTCAGTAAACAATCCACCATGCAGAAAAGGCCCCTGAAATTCCTAACAATTATTTCTCCCTCTTCCCACAATTAAGGGGGCAGAGAGAAGAAAGAGAGTAGAGAAAAGTACACAGCTCTGCTTAGACTGTCACTTTGCATCAGTTTGAGAGGGAACACATTCCCAGGCTGAAAAGGGTTGCCCGGAACAATTAAGCATGGGCTAAGAGTGAAGCTGGGAAACATTCCAGCTTCTCAGAAGTCAAGTCTTCACTGTGTGATCTTCAAAATAACAGAAAATAAATAAATAAGTCTCTACTAGAATGCATGTTCATTTATCCTAAAATTATGTATATGTCTTCTACTGTACTTATGAATTATATATATTATAAAATACACAAAGATACATTTTTTGTGCATATGATAAGCAGGGTGATCAAATGATTTATCTTCCAAACAGGGCTGGGCTTCTTTTGAAAGCAAAAGGAGGTGCTTTAATAGTTATACTGAGACAACTCAAATAAATTGGAACTCCCTAGGCAATCCTGGACATAAAAATGCCTTGTACAGGTTAAATTAAAAATATTAAAAAATTTTACTAATTATTATGGCTTTGTATTATCATTAGTTTATATCTGTAAGTATGATGCTTACTTGGAGCCAAGTTCACCACTATAGGGGTGTTAATCTACATTTCCAGTAGATAATTTTGATAATTTTACTACAAGCTTCACCCCGCCACTTAATAAATCTGTGATACTATCATTACTTTTTACATATAAATTAGACTGAGAATGACTTTCTTTAAAGATTGAAAGGATTAGCTCTGCATTTGTTTTCTTAAAATTAAAAAACACATATTTGCAAAAATATTTTATTGCCTCCATTTTGTGAGAGTTAGTTTAATCAATGCTAGGAAATATAATAATGACATATATACATCCACTTACCAGATATAGATGAGAGATGATATATACTCTCTCGCTTTTGTGTAACTTTCTTACCTCAGTTTACCAGATATTAATGACATGAGACAATCTGATATTTGGACCAAATAAAGGTATCAATGTCAATACAATACGCAATATTTGTTAACTCTAATTTACTTTGTACTTTTAAGACAAAATGAACATACTTTATAGTTCCAATCCAATTTTCTTGAAGTCCAATAGCATTTATCTTGTGTACCATCTGGGATGCACACAACTGATATTACATCTAAGTTACCTGGACCAGTGCTTCTCTGATTGTTATGTACATATAGTTACCTGGAGAGGTTGAGAAAATACAGATCTGATTTTGTTGATCTGGAGTACAACCAAGATTTTGCATTTCTAGAAAGTTCTCAGGGATTGTTAGTCTAGGGATGACATTTTAAGTTCCTAGCTTAAAACATGTTAAGTTCCTAGGGATGAAATTTTAAGGAATCTTAGCTCTCTGCTCTTTAATATAATAATTATTAGCCACATGTAACCATTGAACATTTGAAATGTTGCTAGCCTAATTTCAGAATTACTGTAAATGTAAAATCCATATCAAATTTCAAGGACAAGGGAAAAAAGGAATGTAACAATTTCATTAATAATTGTAATTTTTGATTACATGTTGAAATATTTTTATTTTTATGATATATAAATGTTTAGTGTAGCACATATACATTAATAATTTTAAATATGAGTCCTAGACATTTAAAATTATTTGCATGCCTCACAACTGGGTGATGCTGCTCAAAACCACAAAATAATGTCCTGGTCATGTAAAGTGGTAGTGAAAGAATTCACTACGCGCCTCAATCGATCCTCCCAGACTTGCCTTTTTTGACTCTCTGTCCCATGCCCTAAGTTGCAGCTACATGCTACCTGAAATTCATCTAACATCTATTCTTTAATTTATTTGTTTATTCAATAAGTATTATATTGAGTGCCTACACTGAACCAGGCAAAACTAGCAGGCGCTGTATGTACTTAGGTATAATGCTGAAAAAAGATAAGCATGAACCAAGTCTCACTGAATATGCAAGCTCTCATTCTTCTGATTTCATAAAAGGAAAAACCCCTTTTAACCCTTACTGTCTCTTTTTCTTGAAGTCACCCACTGGCTCCTTCATCTGTGCTTCTATAGTGTTTTGTCTGTTACATAAAAACAAATTGCCTTATAATTGATATATATTGCATATATTTTTCTTCAAATAGGTTAATTACATCTTTGATGGCATGATTTATTTATGTCTTTCATTCTAGCACAATTTCTAGCACATAGTAGGTAGTTAATAAACCAATTTTGAATGAATTATTTCACAAATAAGGTTGTAAAATTTTAAAACAATTTAATTTCAGAAAGCACTAATTATTTCAACTTGATTTCCATTTTACATGGTCCATTCCAGCTCTTCTTTTGTTATTACAAATATTTTATGTAGTAATGTATTACCAAGCTCAGCTGGTTTAAAATCAATTCAGCACAATTTGATCTATGTCTGCCTAGTGCTCTTATTAAGCATTTCATTTAGTCTTTCTGAATATTGATCTCATTCACAAAATGAATTTTTAATTACTGCTACATGTTTTCTTGAAAAGACTGAAAGATTCAATTCATGAAATTGTTCCCAGATCATGGCAGGAACAATAAATTCAATAAATATGAAATTTAAATAGTTAAGACTTAGTCATTTTATTTCCTTTTTATTAACTAAATGTGAAATAATGTTTTGCAGGTAAAACATTAGGCCACTTATGAGTTCCAAGTCAAATTTAAGGCTTTACATGTACCTAAGTATGCCGCTTTGCCAAGTAGTTTCATTTCCCTCTACATCAATTATTTTACACGTAAGATAAAATTGAACAAAATGTCATCCTTCTCATGTCTACAGTTCAGTGAGTCTTTGAAGAGGATAATAAAGTCTTTTTTGAAAATCACCAATACAAAGGCCTTTTAATCGTTTCCTTTCCTCCTTTCTTTTTCTTTCAGTTGCAAACATTATTAGGCATGCATGAGTGACAATAGGTTAAAATAGGAACTATTGGTATGAAATCATGGTTTAATATATTGATAGAGATGTAATGATATAGAGATGTAAAGGGGTGTGTGTGTGAGTGTGTGTGTGTGTGTGAATACATATACTTCCTAGTTCTGTCCACCTAAAGGGCCTGTGAATAGCAAAATCCCCAAAATAATGAGCACACTTACTACTAAAATTTTGGTTGTTACATACCTTCAACTGAAAGAAATCAGTGCTTCTTAAAAAAAATGGACTGTGGCTCAGAAGAGGCTGAAATATTGTGTTGTGCCAGACAGTAATGAAATATTCAAAGAATGATTTAGACATGTTGTGTTAGTCCATTCTTGCATTACTATAAAGAAATACCTTGAGACTAAGTAATTTATAAAGAAAAGAGATTTAATTGGCTCATAGTTCTACAGGGTGTCCAGGAAGCATAATGCAGGCATCTGCTTCAGATGAAGTCTCAGGAAACTTACAATTATGATGGAAGGAAGCAGTATACTGAGGCTGTGGCAGGGCAATAGGGACAGAGGCCCTACTGCTCATTATAGCAAGTGAGTTTCATGAGATCTGATAGTTTAAAAGTGAGGCACCTCCCCCATATTCTCATTTTATCCTGTTTTCACCATGTGCTGTGCCTGCTCCTCCTTTGCCTTCCACCACGATTGTAAGTTTCCTAAAACCTCCCCAGAAGCTGAGCAGATACCTCTATGCTTTTTGTACAGCCCACAGAAGCATGAGACAAAGATCTTTTCTTTATAAGTTACCTACATTGGCTATTTCTTTATAGAAATAAGAATGGTCTAACAGATAAAATTGGTACCAAGGGATGGAGCATTGCTGTAAAGATACCTGAAAATGTGAAAGCAGCTTTGGAATTGGGTAACAGGCAGAGGTTGAAAGATGGCAGAGGGCTCACAAGGGAATGTTCAGAACTTCGTAGAGACTCATTAAATTGTCATAACCCAGATGCTGATAGTGATATAAAGGGTGAAGTCTGGGCAAGGAGGACTCAGATAGAAATGAGGAACTTAATGAGAGCTGGAACAAAAGTCATTTTTGTTAACGCTTTAGCAAGGAACTTGGCTGTATTATACCCCTGTCCTAGGGATCTGTGGAACTTTGAACTTGAGACTGATGATTTAGGATATCTGTTGGAAGAAATTTCTAAGCAACAAAGCATTCAGGATGTCACATGGCTGCTCCTAACAACCAGTGCTCATATGCAGGAGAAAATAAATGACTTTAAGTTGGAACTTACATTTATAAAAGAAGCAGAGTATACAAGTTTGAAGAATTTGCAGCCTGGCCATGTGGCAGAGAAAGAAAAAGCTTTTGGGGGAGAGGAATTCAAGCACGCTATATAGCTACTACTTGCTAGAGAAATTTGCATAATGAAAAGGAAGCCAAGTGCTAATATCCAAGAAAATGGGGAAAAGGCCTCCAAGGCATTTCAGAGAACTGTGCAGCAGCCAGTCCCATAAGAGGCCTTGAAGGCTAGAAGGAAAGAATGGTTTTGTGATCCAGGCCTCTGTCCCTATTGCCCTGCTACAGCCTCAGTACACTGCTTCTCCTACACCTTCCATAATAATTTTAAGTTTCCTGAGACTTTACCTGAAGCAGATGCCTGCATTATACTTTCTGGACAGCCTGTAGAATCATGAGTCAATTAAATCTCTTTTATTTATAAATTACTTAGTCTCAAGGTATTTCTTTATAGCAATACAAGAATGGACTAACACAACATATCTCAATTGAACATGAGATTTGGGTGGGACACACATCCAAACTATATCACATGTCAAAATGATTACAGTTCTAACTTAAAGGACTTCCACTGATCAAATCTGAGAAAATAACAGTAATTACTGTAATACGCTAAATAAAATAAGTGTCCATTAATTCTCAGTGATATAAACAAATGGATAAATGAGTAAGAGGGTAAATATTTTACTTAGAATGCCAACTAACAAATCCATTAAAATAAATTTGAAAATAACTATTCATGTTAAAACAAGTAGTTTAGACAGTTCCTCTTCAAGGAGTTTCACTTTGTTACAAACAAGGAGTTCTTCTCTAATAGGTCTTTACTTCCTTGTACTGTCTTGAAGTCTTATTTCCCTGTTCTTTGTCTAAGGTAATCTTGCCCTCCAATCTATCAGTCCCTCCCACCTTGCTGTGCTCAGGCATGCCTACCAAGAAATCACCACCTACCTGCTGTGACAGCTTTCCCCAAAGAAACTGTTCTTCCCTGTGCTCTTCACATTACCTAATTGCATTTAGCTTAGACTGTGCGGTCCAACCACAAACAACAGGGAAATGACACAGCAGCTAATACCAACTGCCTCAGGAATGAAAAACCCCTGCTGGCCCAGCGCGGTGGCTCACGCCTATAATCCCAGCACTTTGGGAAGTCAAAGTGGGTGGATCACAAAGTCAAGAGATCAAGGCCATCCTGGCCAACATGGTGAAACCCCATCTCTACTAAAGAAATACAAAAATTAGCTGGGTGTGGTGGCACATACCTGCATTCCCAGCTACTAAGGAGGCTGGGACAGGAGAACTGCTTGAACCAGGGAGTTGGAGGTTGCAGTGAGCAGAGATCACACCACTGCACTCCAGACTGGTGACAGAATGAGACTCCATCTCAAAAAAAAAGAAAAAAAAAAAAAAAAAGAAAAGCCCTGCCCTCCTTTGTCTGGTGTGCTCTCACCATTGCTCTATCCCCGAAATGTACCCTTCTATAGAAGTAAATTTGCCTTGATGAGAATATTTATGTTTGAGTGCTATTTCTTTTACAGTACAAAAAATTTATTTCTAACAATTTGAGTCATTATAGCAATAATATAGGCAAAAATATCAACAGTTTATAAAATAAATGGATAAAATGTGATTAAGAATGGGATATGTATTTAGTTTCAAACTATCTCTCTTCAAAATACTTACTGATTGCAAAGGAAAAAAGAAATGTAACTTTCTAGTGTAGAAACCTGGCAGTGACCAGGTTGCTTGATCACTTAAGATAACTTGATTAAGATAACCAAATATCACCAGTAATGGAACATATCAATATTATTTGCTAACTAATAGGATGTAATAAGAAGTACATAACATCTCTCTTGTACTGTCCTACCCAAAATGCATAAAGTGGATAAAACCTTGGAGAAATACTGGAAAATTCCACCTTAAAGAACATTCTACAAAATCAATATCATATAATCTTTAAAAAAAAATGTCAAGATTGTAGAAGTTAAGGAAAGACTAATGAAATGCTTTTATTGAAGAAGATGATAGAGACATAGCTACTGATTTCAAGTGACTATCCTGGATTGGATTCAGTTGTGATAATTACCTGGGACAATGGGCAAAATTGAATTTTGGGCAAAGGTTACGTGGGAGTTCTTTTTACCATTGCAATTTTTCAATACTTTTGAATACTTTCCAAATAAAATTAACTTTCATAAGAAGAAAAAAGCAAAGCCAACAAAAGTGTTTTTAATACGAAATAATAGAATATACGTGAAAAACTTCTTGAAGTTAGTCACATATATAATAGTCTGAAGCCAGTGTACTCACAAGGAATGTGTGAAATTGGCTGGATCCATGGTCTCCATTGTTACATTTTTCTTTTTTTTTTTCTCTCTCTCAACAAGTAATCAGATATTCATGTATTTTTGTTTTTGCATATTTATTTTTGAGATAGGATGTCACTCTGTCACTCAGAATGGAGTGCAGTGGTGTGACCACAGCTCACTGCAGCTTTGAACTCACTCCAGTGCTTATGTGATCCACATACCTCAGCTTCCTATCTGGGACCAAAAGCACATGCCACCATATCTGACTGATTTTTATATTGTTTTGGAAAGAGGAGGTTTCACATATTGCCTAGGCTTGTCTCAAATTCCTGGGCTCAATCAATCCTTCCATCTTGGCCTCCCAAAGTGCTAGGATTACAGGCGTGAGATACCACACCCAGCCTTTTAGTTTTTCGACCTCCCAGTTGATTTAGATGTTACTCTTTCTATATGTCCACAGGATGCTCTGTATGCCTTTATTAGCACGAATCACAGTCCTCTAAGCTAAAATATAAGTTGTGTGATGGTAGGAAGCTTGTTGTAAAAGACCACCATACCGTGGCAATGTATTTCAAAATGAAAGTTATACTATGCTTATATTTTGAATTACGTACCATTTATCAATGTGTAAGTAATCCTTTGTTCTATTATGTCTCTTTCTTCTTTAACATGTTTGTATAGTGGCTGGTCATAGTGGCTTATGCCTGAAATCCAAATCCCAGCACTTTGGGACACCAGGGTGGGGAAATACCTAAGTTCAGGAGTTCAAGACTAGCCTGCTCAACATATTGAAACCTAACCTCTACTGAAAATACAGAAATTAGCTGGGCATGCACCTATAATCCCAGCTACTGGGGAGGATGAGGCAGGAGAATCGCTTGAACCCAGAAGGCAGAAGTTGCAGTGCACCAAGGTCACACTGCACTCCAGACTGGGTGACAAAGTGAGATTAAGTGTCAAAAAAAAAAAAAAAAGGCTGTATAGAAATAATAATATAAAAATTGCATTGACATTTTTCACAATAGCAAATTTTAAGCATTTGATCTTTCACATAGTATATAATTGAATTTAGTTTTATTTTTTGCCCTGACAGAATGAATGTTTTAATTTGGAATGTTCCTACTATTATAAATGATATACTTCTTTGTTCTTGTCTTTGAAGGTATGCCTCCTTGCCATCTCCTTTACTTTTGTTATACTGGTTATATGTAATTTAATTTTGAATTCACTGCTATGATAGAAACTGGATGCCACACTTAGATTTTCCAGCTATTGCTATTGAGGTTTCAAAATCATTTTTGAAACCATTATATTTTTTTCTAATTGTGAGTGAAGCTCGATTTCTAGGGTAACCCATTTCTGACAGAAGACTCTGCCTCCTTACTTCTCAGTTACTATCATAATGAGAGTTAGATTGAGGAAGATGGGAGTGGAATAGAGGTCATCCACAGAGGAGGTCTGCTGAAAGGCCAGCCTTATGATAACCACTTGAAAAAAAGAAACAGCAGCCTGGGGATACTGCTGATATGATCCACGGTAGATTCAAGGACCTACATGGAAACTGGGTGGAAGTTAATCAACTTGTGATGTTAGTGTGTTGACAATCATGTAAGCATCATCCAGGGATTACACTTAGATAGGATATGAAAGGGATGACTCTCAGGCACACAAAAAGGAAAATCAGTTTAGTTAATGATAGCCTGTGTTTCTTTCATTGAAACTGTATTTTTCTCATTTTATTCCAACTTGAAATCACTATCAATTTCTGATAGGTCTTGATATTAGACAATAACGTGGTGTTCAAAAGAACAGACTCTGTAGCTACATTCAGTAGGTTCAAATCCCATCTCTGTTGCTCATTAGCCGTGCAATCTTGAGTGTTTTACTTAGCTTCCCTATTTCAAAGCCTTTAGCTATAAAATGGGGGAAAATGTGGGTAGCCATAAAGTATTTGAAAAGATAAACTGAGTCAATATTTTTATGGCAATACTTAGTTGGCATAGCTAGAGTTTCAACAAACGTTCATTGTTATTAAGATGTGTTTTGACAGTGTTGAGATGTTTTCTTTTTCTTCTGTATCTTCATGGACTTCATGGATATTTAAAAGAACCGTGAAATTGCTATTTGTCTGCTATCCAGAAGCCATACTGAAACAGAATTTCTTGATCATCCATTTTAAATGATATTTTTTATAATATTCAGAATAACCTGAGCCCTTAACTGCACCAACCTTGCACTGACAAAAATGATGTATATAGAAATCCCACCATCTGTGCCTATGTCACAACATCATCATTTTTGGAATAAATCCACCACTTTT